CTGCAGATATTTTACTACATTACTGTAAACCTCAACTGCTGCAAGTACTGGTTGTATATAGGTTATTCTCACCTGAGCAAGAGCTTGCCAGAAACAATGCAGGTTCCAATTTATTTCCATCACTGTTTCCTCAGGCCTCAGGCCACCACTTTGCACCAGCCAATACTACGAAGTGCAGTTCAGGCATTTAACACCGATTCTGATGATCCCATGTCATGGAGGTCTTCCATGGACATTGAGGGATGTGGGATTAAGCCTCCTGCATGTAAATGTTATTGTCAATGACATAAGTTGGTCTGTCTTGAAGGCTTGAGCCTCTGAGTGGGTGCATTAGGTAGCTGTGATTTTTTTATTCACCCTTATCCCTAAACTATGCTAACTGGGAGCTAACAACATTCTGCACTTTGCAGGGAATTCTAGTGAGCTGCTGCTATTCCCCTATGGGAATACGGGTCACAGAGACCACAGAGCAAGAACAGCAAGAAGGTCACAAGCACTGTACAGACCAAGGACAGCTAAGACAGGTTTGCAGGGGTATCTTTAATTCCTCTCGGCAGCCTGTTCATCCTGTGAGAAGGGGCGCACGCAAACCCACCAACACTGTCTGGTTTTAGTCCTGTATGTTATGTATTAACTGCCGTACCATCTACACACAACGCTAGAGAAGACCGTCTATGTTCACAGCACTTCCAGCTCAGCCTTTACAAGAAGATCCCCCTCCTGGCTCTTCTATCACCCAGACAAGATTTTGACATTGCTCACACAACACAATCTTTAAAGGAAGTTTTTCTTGTATGACAACCATCAGATTGGGCCCATAGGGCTAAAAGCTGTATTTATTTATTTTTTAAATACCTTCTTGCTTTACATGGGATTTCAGTTCCAAACAACATGCATCAACTTTTTAAAAAATCCACACACAAACAATATTTATCATCCAAATACCCTTCAGAAAGCTCAAAGGCTGACATATTAAAACCAAGAAGTCAATTTAAAAATATATATATATATATTTCTAAGTTCTTAAAAGAAATATATGTTGCTGGTCCATTAATAAGGAGGGAAAAAAAAATGTACCTGAAATCGAAATAAACTAATCAACAAGATATGCTTGTCTGCTAAAAGGCAATATATTGCACCTCTCTACATAATTCCGCCAACTGCATGGTCATCTTTTCAATACAATGAAACTTTTGAAAACCCTTTGTACAGTAAGGAAAAATGCCATTCACTCCTGAGGTTACAGAGAATGCAATAAACTGCCTACATGTTTTTAGATAGTCAAATAACACTTAGTGATGTTATTCAGTTCATTTCCAAAGGATGTGCATCTGAATGCATGGGGGTAAAATAGAAGGAATTACATATATTTGTATGTGCATATGTATATACATTTACACACACACAAAGGAATTGCAGGAGGAGGAGAGCAAGATATAAACAAGAGACTGAAAGGAGAAAGGTGCAAGTCAGTTGACCATAAGCAGAATTTATCCTTTAAAGGATATTTAGCAGAAGAAGATAGCAGACTGAAAGAACCTTGCCAATCATTGAAGACTTTTACACTGTGTAACAGGTATCAGATAAACTGTTAGCTGAATTTGTGCCTGGTGAGAAAAGGAATCTGAAAAAAGAGCATTTTACTGTTGCCAAAAGTAGCTTGTTCAGATATCCAGAAATCAAATCTGCTGGGTGACCACTATCTGTTATCCCATCAGCTTGTTAGGATGAGAATGCCCAGCTTATATAGTCAAAAAAATAAAAAAAAAATCTGCTTTTCAAAAACTGCTGGTCAGGTTTAGCCTACCAGATTCTCCAAACCAGAAGACACAAAAATTGAGAACAGATTTCTCAGCATTAATAGGAACAAAATAAAATTCTGGACAGCTTTTAAGAATTTAGCATTAGAGTTTCCTAAAATAAAACAGTAATTTGCCCACTTCTTCCCAGAAATAGTGACAGAGTACACCATGTTTTATTGGTCCTCACAAAATGATTCATCCATTTTCTTGGGGCAGCAGCAGAATTCATCACAGACGAAATAACTTCATTACTAATGCATTAGAACATGTGACTTCTTTATGACCTGCTTTTAAGAGTTTGTTTTTCCTATCTGTGAAAGCATGATCAGTATTAAAATTTCTATTTCATTCTCACTTCCATCAGTATGCCACAACTGCAACGTTGTGAGCAAGTGCTCTCCTCCTCTTTCAAGAACAATACCAACACAGCATCTGCTTCTCATAAGCACATTTGTGCGTGTATATATAAATGTGTGTGTGAGAGAGAGATCTGCTGTAAATCTGCTGAATTCAACTGAAAAGTTTGTCACAGGAAAGATCTTTTTTCTTTCCTGTCCTTCACAATTTAAACTATACAAGGAGGACTACTGCTATGGACCCGAATTTTTATTTTCAGCTCACTTGCTAAGTACAGGAGAAGGTTAGTTACTAAGGAGGGAGGAAAAAAATTATTTGACTTTCAAAGTCAATCGACTGGTGCATGAATGGCTATAGACAACAGCGTTTTCATTGGCACTTGTCTCCCAAAGCCTGTAGAGTTCCTCAAGCGTACTCAAATTCAGCAGTGGAAACTGGGCACATAACAGTAGTTCTTGAGAAGGAAGAAAGAGGCAACAGATTCACCAAATATTCATCCCCTCTACCCACTAACTCAGCAAAACAACTCAGGAAGGGATTCCAGTGCAAACTTTGGGCCTGTTTCTTTCCTGTCCCCTGATTTTGCTTTAACAGCTTTTGGGAACAGGAGAACGTCCTTTATCATCTGAACTTGCAAAGCGGAGGGCAATGCAATGGCTGCACTTACTAGACATAGGTGAGCTATACAGGAAACTCAAACACAGTACAGCTTAAAAAGAAAATTTGCATATTCTTTTGCTTTTCTCCCTCCCAAAACTCTCCCTCCCTGAAGTTCAGAGAGTTTGATTAGAACTTTTCTCATTGCTTTTCTTGGGATGGTTTGCATCTTTGCCTTCCAGCTTTGCCAAGTCCAGGAAACAAGAAAAAAGTTCAAACTTTTTTTCCAGTATTTCTAATACTGCCAGAAATTCCTGATTTTTACCTATCTCAAGAACTCATTCTTGAGATATTTCCTGAAGTATACTCTCCTGAAGTAAACAAATTGTGGGTGCTTTTACTACCTTCCCTCCCACATGGTTATCCCACTCTGATACTAATTCATTAACCAATTGAGGAAATAGCTCCACTAGAGCAGTGATAGCATGTAGGACTGTATTGAGAGTGAATTTCACTGACAGGAAAAAATGCTAATGACTTAAAAATGAAAACAAAAAATTAATTCCATATTCCAACATGGAAACTACAACCCATTGCTTTTTTTTTTTTTTTTAACAGTATTGAAGCACAGCCCATTCAGCCCTCTTATGCTACCTCAGACTTCAAATTACTGAGATAAGCATTTAAGGGTTTTGCCAAATTGGGTTATAATCCTGATGCCCCCAGTGTCAGCACTTCAAGCCATCTCATGTGGCAAGGAAGAATGCTCAGCATCTCACTGAGTCAAGTTCCCAGTGCCTGGAATAAAGAAATGTCAGGATAGAGGCCTGAATTTTGGCAGCTTGCACAGCCCAACTCTTTTCCCTCCCCATTCACATGGAGAACCATGTGTTCTCCATCTGACAAGCCAACATATACAATACTCATTGCCTTAAAACTAAACTGCTCCTTATTAGTCATGTGGTTAGCTCTCGGTTTGCATGTAGCTGGTTTGTCTTTTAACCAGGGGTGCCTGAAAACAGTGGTAGCAGAGAAATAATAGGTTACAAGAGCCTTGTGAAATATTACAGATATCCTAAAGACATCCATCCACTGAAGGTGCACAGAGCAGAAAGGCAACATTTCCAAGTGAAAGCTAGGATGAGGCAACTTGGGGCCCTGATCCTGCACTTGGCCCCACCTGAACACAAGCTGCTGTGGTGTCACCTTGCTGGAGGCAGTAGACTTGGGCATGCAGGATGACTCATGCCAGCCTACCGCAGGGCTGGGCTCTTCAGCGGAATCTCACAGCCCTTATTCAGGGTTGGATCCTGCTCACACTGTCTTCAAACAGAGTCCTCATTATGCACGTAGGACCTGAGGCCCAGGGCCAGAAGTGGGGTTTCCCAACATCTTGCAGAGTGCCGGGGCTAGATGTAGCCACACGGTCTCCAAGTTCAGATTCCTACCTAGAGACAGCAGCAAAGCCTATCTTTTGTGCATGCTCAGCACGTGCAACTCCTATGAAATTCAAGAGCTGCAGCTGGGGTATCAAGAGGCCCCCAGCAAGTCTTAGGTTAGACAACCAACTTCTGAAGTTGACAAGAGTTGAAAACTTCAGTGATTTCTGTGAGGTACTCGGATGACAGAAAGATCAGGCCAGTTAAAAAAGAATAAAATTTTTGTTTCCACACGTTGTAAACATTTTTATAAAACTGGCATTTCTTTCCTGAATATTCACACTAAAAATTGCCACCCTTGAAATGGTTTAGCTGAAGGTCCTGTATCATGAGTTCAAATACAAGTATACCAATATTAATGATCACTACAGAAGTGCCTGAAACATAACCCATAAGAATTCTGTTCTTCAGCTTCAATGGATCATGGGCAAGGCCCTAACTCATGTCTCATTTAAATCCATACAAGTATTTGGTCCACTCTGAAAGAACGACTGGGTCAGAAAAGCAGTTCTTACAACCCTAGGCTTTGATCCAGGCTAAAGGTATTTGCAATTTTCTTACAATGATCATTGCAAAAAGCCATCTTCAGAGGCAAGAAAATAAAGACACCTTTGCTACAATCTAACACCAGTAGGAAAAAAAATATTTGGATGAAACTTGAGGTGTGAATTATACTTGCTTAAGCTAGAACAAAAGGACAAAAATATCAAAAATTCTAGTAATGTGGAAACAAGCAAGGCTTAGCTCTTTTTTTTTTTTTTTAAAAAAAAAGGAAAGATAGACATTTGAGGTAACAAAACAAAAAATCCCAAAATGCACAAACACATCACAGACATCTAAAAATAGCATTTTATACATTTTTTTTGCCAGTGCTTCTCTGAGAGCAAGTTCTTTAAACAGAACTTAACAATTTTACATATATTTTTTAAAAAAATACGTCATCCTAAAATAGCCCATCAATCCTTACCCAAACTTTCTGTATTTCTACAAAAATAGATGCACAAAGAGCTACAAAATACTGTATTCCTGAAAGAAGGCGCACTGTAGTCAAGGGAGAGTCTTTTTCCTGACAATTGAGACTGTTCATAAAAATATCAAGCTGAACAAAACAAAACACTGTTAAAGGAGCAGAAAGGAGTTAGGTTGACCAGCTGCAGCAGGCTCAAATGAGGAAAGAAAGAAAAGTTATTTTTTTTCTTCAACACTGTGGGACCCATAAATGGCCTTAGAAACAAAAGGCTCAATAGCAAAACCATGGTTGGCTCTTCATTTTCATAGCGTGTTCTTTGCCCCAAACAGTGGGGGGACAAAGCTTAGTCAAGGATATCGCCCTCCCAGCGGCGGTGACTTCAGCTCTTAAGTTATATCTTCAGGTCTTAAGTTATATCTGAACCTCAGAACCAGGAAGTTTCTTTGCTCTTGTCCTGATGCTGTAGACCTAGATTTCAGGAAAGAAAAAAAAAATTAATTTCCCCACACAAGCAAAGTTAGAACAAACAGTTGAAAACAAACAAACAATCCCCCCGCTCCCCTCTTACTATCTAAGCGGATCTGTTAGTGACATTATATTGCTCCCAATTTCACAGTTTATATAGGATAAGCTTAAACCACACTTAAATTTTAGACTGGCTCGAGCAATTCAGGAATGACGATAAAATCCTTTATGCATTTCCTATTTCTGGCTTCCTTTGGAGAGAACCGAGGCATGACAAAATCCTCCAGCAAGGTTTGTGCAGACATTCCAGTATGGAACAGAATCACTTTTCCTGATAGAGGCCAACCACAGATCCCATCTCCCTTCTAAAAGGTCTGTAACACTTCAGGATTTCACAATTTCTGCAGCATTTCACCTTGAAGAGAGGAAAAATGTTCCTGCAGCAAGCAAGAATACCAAATAATTTCACCTACAGAGTGTCAGATTTTTAGCCAAGAATGGCTAGTGCTTCCACATGGGAAAAAATAATGATTTTCAGCTTGCATTTGTTATGAGTTTCTCTAACATTTTCCTTTATAAAATGTGAGGACTATCTAATAAATGCGGTGCTACATTGTGGCTTTGGCTTTATGGACTTGGAACCTCTGTTATCTGGGATTTTTCTCTTCCAGAGGGATTCAATCTTCGATAGATTTACACTCCACAGGGCGTATACCTAAAATACAGACAATAGAGCAGGAGCTGGGGATTAAACTTTCCGAAGAAGGCCCATTACTATCAATTATAGCAAAAATAAATGGAGGTACAGATGCATATCTTAGGAAGCAGTAAGGCACCTGAGTTTCAGTCATTCAAAACCTGTCCCTTGACATTTTGAGCTAAACAAATTAATTATATTTCATGGAATGAAGAAACATTGTTATACAGACAACTTTGTTCTGCTCTACGTGTCCAGCCACACAGTGCACCAGCAATGATGTGCTCACTACCTGATCTGCCATTAATTGGGGGCCAAATTAATCACTAATGTGAGCATGTGCAGCTACAGCTGACTTAAATATTTTTGCAACTACTGTAGCCCTGTGTTCAATCAGGTTTAACCTGTGAAAACTGAAGGTATACTAGGCATTGATCTTCTACCACATAACAATGAAATCTGTGGTACTCCTCTGTTTTCAAAGGCCTTCTGACAGGCCTGATGGATTTTGATCTGACCACCAGCTTTTGCTTTATTGAGTATCATCAGTTAACTTGCTAATGATGATCAACAGTATTTCAGAGTACAGAGCTATTAACAGTCATCTAAAAGGTGACAGCCTATTTGATCTGTCCATCTGAGGATTTCCAAGCACTTCCCAAACACTTGTGGGTTCGGCAGTGAACAGATAGGGCACAGAGCACACAGGGGTGACTTGCCCACGTCTGGAGGGGAGTTTTTCCAGATGATTTCCAGATATAGAAATTACACTGTCCAAGAGTTAGTCCTCTAGTCTTTGTTCTTTATCTTAACATTAGTCATTGTTCTTTAGCTTAACACAGGTAAGGCCAAAGAGCAATCTGGAAACCATCTGGCAGATGAGTGGAAGTCAGACATACACCTACTATCACCTTGATAACATGTAGCACAAAAAAATGACAGAAATTGCATGCCAAATCATGTTGAGTGACTTCCTGTTCTATTCCACACACTCTTGCACCTATGTTTTTGGACTAGAAGAGCACCGGGATCCCCAAACTAAGGTATATCTATAAAAACATGGTCAAAAGCTCTTCACTTAGCAAAGATTTCTCCCTTTTGTTTGAGCTACTTGCTTTCCTGGCAACATGATTCACAGAGTTGTGCCTTTAGTTTCCTTCAAAGCTCCCTCAAAATCAATTGGCAATTTTTTTTTTATTCCTCTTCTGTTTACAGTTAAAAAAAAAAAAAAGAGAGAGAGTCAGACAGACCTTCTGTGTATCAAGAAATCATTAAGGGTAGGGTGGAGTACTGAAAGCCACCAAGATGCAATGGAAGCAGGTGAGATGTAAAAGAGTTCAAACTGTCCAAACTAGCTTATAAAGGAAAAAAAAAATCTTTTTAGGAGGACATCTGCTTGATGGCAGAGATTAGTAGAAGGAGAACAAATAGAAATAACGGTAAGATGGAGGTTTAAGGTATAGCAATTAAGCCCAAGCAGCCACTGAAAACAATCCAAAAGCTAAAGTTGCCTTAGTTACAGAACTGAATATTGAACACTTTCCATGCCTTTTCTTCATTATATTCCCATATCCTTTATGGCAAGTATATGCAGTTCTAACATGTCATCCAAGTGCAGCCACACTATAAGAGCTTTAACTTGCAGTCTGCTGATAAAACAAACATTTTTTGTCTTAAAATATCTTCACTTATGTTATATAACTCAGTATTTCCACACTGGCAGAATTCTCCATCTCTGAGATACCAATATTATGGATAATTTTCATATGTGCAGAATACAGGTTATGTGGACACACCTAACAAAAGCACCAGATTGGGACAAACACGTAGCATGTGTAAAATAAGAGCTCTATGGAGGACAACAGGCTGTGCCCACTCAAACCTGTATTCAAAGTGACACGGTGACTCAGAGGCATTTCCAAAAGTGAACATCTTTTCATTAGACAAGGAACTGCAGCATGACGCTTCTCTCACCTAAATTTAAATTAAACACATGCGAACCTCAATTTTCTGATAGAATTACAACCCTCAGATACACCAAACCCCTGCTCTGCTTTTTGTGTACAGGGCTTACAGGAAACCTCTTCTGTCACTTCCAGCACATCTGCCCAGCAGCAGGGCAGGATATCCTCCTAGCACGCTCAGCAGCAGCAGGGCAACATACTCCACACTCCTCCCCGCGGCAGCCCGGACCCGGAATGTGCTGCTGCATTCGACTAACCTCCCAGCATCTCCTCCTTGGCCTTGAGGAGCCAGTGGAGAGTGTGGAGGGACACACTCAGCCCCTCTGGCCACCAAGTGTTTATATCAACACGATTTTAGATCCAGCACTCCAGCCAGGGCAGCTGAGCATCACGAAAGACACCGCTTTCAAGCAGTCACAAACGTAACAGGCTTTAATAGATTCTGATTTAGGCTAGCACTTTCTTTAATCCCACTTGTACCCGTATGGGAGCTTCCAGAAGGGCTAATCTGCAGCATGCAATGTTAGGATTAAGCCACATTTGAAGGAAATGAGGTAGCTAAATCCCTACTCATCCATCTAAACCTGAACCATGTAAGTGTAAGCAGATGTGCAAGACAGATCAATAGTTTATTAGCTCCACAAACAGCGATACACTCATGTCCCATGAAAGAGAAATCCCTAAACTCTAGCCTGTATGCAAGAAGATCCCCTCCCTTAACCTTTGAAGTGATGCAGCATCACCCATTCCTGAGACCAAATATTTGGCTCAGCATGGTAGGGATGCAACAATGTAACTGGAAGCGGGTATGGTTACAGCCAGCCTGCTGGTGATCAACACTGTCATTGCACATAATTCGGCGTGAGGAATTCTGCAAATGTTTCCATAATCACATGTGACAGCAGCAAAAGAAATGTGACTCACAGTACATAAGAGGAAAAAAAGAAGTATCCCTTGCATACCTGAAGGGCTCTGAAAAGCCACAACCAGAGGTACACCAAATGAGTTTTCTTATATAAATCATATAAAGCTCATGGAATGTGATATACTGACAAAGTCAGAGGCTGATGTCTTTATTCCCCGGGAAGATATGAGCAAAAGCTTCCAGATTTGAAGTTTTCTGGCCACCACGTCCCTGTCCAACTCTCAAGAGAGAAAGTCAGCACATTCTTGCAGGCCCTTCAGTTTATGCCTCTCTGCCAAAATTGCCACCCCACATTAGAGACAAAAGTAATGAAATTCTGTGTGGAGACTAGTGATATTCACTATACGCACCTCTTAACGGACACAGAGCAATAAAAACACACAGAGGACTAAACCTGAACAGACAACTCCAAAAGGCAAGTTCCTTCAGGCCTGCTCCTTCGGCAGCCACCTCTCTCCTGTGCAGGCAATTTGCACAGTCCCCAGACCAACATCACTGAGGGGACCAACATCACTTGAGGGTGCATACAGTATCCCGAGGCAAATATATCCGCCATTCTTGGCAGGTTGTACCCAGAACATCCATCAGCTGAGTGCTTGTCCTAAATCTGCCAAGCTCGGGAGGGCTAAGCAGGAGGCTCAGAGCAGGCCCTTCGGTGAGCCTCTGCTTCAGGACAGTGAGAGAGCATAGGAGAGGCAGCCAGGAAGGGCAAGGGAGTGCATGGCTGTAACGCCACTGGCCACCATGATAAGCAATGCTTTCATTGCATCCAGGCTCAATCATGATTCTTCAACGTGCAGCACATACAGCCACACAGCATCGCACTGTAACACCTTATGAGCAGCAAAGTATATGTTTGTTGTATCCCCTCTTGTTTCCAAAGGTTTAGGTGCCAAACTGGAGTAGCCTGATAAATCCATGATGTTGTGTTTCAGTGCCTGGTCACTTTGAAGAGTTAGAAACAAGCAAGCAATAGGCTGGCTGGGATCTTATGTTTTTATCATCGCTCATTGTTATTCTGCTCTCTTTCCCCAATAGGAACTCATGGAATAAAGCCTACACATCAGTCACTGGCCAGAAGTTATAGAGCCTTCTTCCACCTTCAGCAGACAACCACGAGACATGCAAGCTACTACTAAACACCAGCAATCAGAGTCCCTCCAGCTGTGCCTATCCTCAGGCATTTTCATATGGAGGAAGCAGTGCAAAGCAAAGGCTGTATTAGCGTTATCAAGTCCCATGCCTCCTCCACCGCCTTCTTCCACCTTCAGCAGACAATCACGAGACATGCAAGCTACTACTAAACACCAGCAATCAGAGTCCCTCCAGCTGTGCCTATCCTCAGGCATTTTCATATGGAGGAAGCAGTGCAAAGCAAAGGCTGTATTAGCGTTATCAAGTAATTCTGACTCTAATCATTTGTTTTGAGGTCTATCACTCTTTAAAAAGAGAAAAAAAAAAAGAGTTTAAACACTTTTTTATTAGAAGTATTACTACAAAACAAGCAGTAAGCAAACTAATTTGTCTAGCACTGAAACAACTCGCAACCCAGGCAAGACTCATACCCAAGTCATGTAGTGGTTCTTTCCAACCAGCAATCCCCTTACGCAATTTCCTGCTCCATACGCAGAAAGGCAAGGCAAATATCAGAGCTCTGGCACTGGACTGCCAGGGTAATTGTTAAACCAATGGGCTGGTCCTGTCTATCAGTATCAATGGCATAACAAAGCAACGCCCTTCCACTACAGAACTTGTCAGAAGAACAAAACTTTAGTTTCCAATCTTGGCAGACTATCATTTTATACCCCAAAGCATAAAGTGTAATTCCTCTTGTATCATCTGCACAGCTGGAGTTGCTAATAGATAAAAAAAATCATCCAATATTATGAACTTTACTATGCTTTTTCTTAATTTCTTGAGGCAGCAAATGGCATAGCATTTAGAAGAGATTAATGGTTCCCAGGTGCCATTCCAGAGATGAGAGATCTGTACTGGACTAGCTTGATTATAACTGGGTTCTAGGTTCCTATTATTTCATATTCAACAAACAGCATTTTTTCGTCATCTATTCTTTGCTCCCTGACATACCCAAAGTAAGCACGTGACTCTCACAAATGGAAATCAGTGAGAGCTATCAAGAAAATCGACAATTGTATCTTAAAGAAAAAGAAGATGCAAATGCAATAAATTTCTTAATAAAGTAACAAAAAGTGTTTAAAAAGTAATAATATCCAAGAATTGCTGCTGGTCAGATAAATACCAAGCAGAAACAGGGGCGTGTTAGGATGGACACGCTGATAAAAACAGTCATCCCTGACCTGTATGAAGAACTCTATAACAGTGAGGGTTGCTAGACTACTCCTAACACTGGATAGTAAGGCAAAGGTAGGCAATTCAAAGCCTGCCTATAATACTACAGAGGTAGTTTGTGGAAGCTGTCATAGTGCTACAGAGAGCACAGTAAAATGAATCTAATTTAGAAACATCTGCCTAGAGTCTACAGAGTGAATTTCACTTTGACAAGCACAGCTCAACCAGCATCTCTAGTCTCTCTAAATAATCCCTGGGTATTAGACAGGAGAGAGATGCTGACCTGTTCCAATTTAGAGGAATAGGATGAAATCCTTGTTATTAGTCCAGTCCTCACTGGAGCTGTATTTTGGTGAATGCATATACAAACTATCTGAACAAGCTGGAAACTTCCACATGGAAGTTTAATTAACCACTTCCCTCAAGATTCAAACCACAAAGACACATATTATGTCACAACCCATTTGGCTTGATGGGGCTACAACACAATTGTCTTGATGGGGCTAAGCAAGACTAAGGTCTCTCAACAACAGGCAGCGAGAGTTGGACATTTCCATAGTTCTTGTCTGCCCTGAGAGCATTTTCAGGAGGGATTCCCACTTGGAAATGTATTTGGAGAAAGCTCTGAGGACAAGCCCTATTTCAACTACAGACAGACTACTACCTTGCTCAAATACATCTCATTAAAAGAAGTCAGACGTAATTGAACCATCTTACCTGTGTCAAACCCAAAACTTGGCACAATGTCCACCGTCCCATGAAAGGCTCCGGCCCATGCTGAGGTAGCGCTGGTGACAGCAGCAGGATCTGTCTTTGTCACGTCACACTGCGGAGCGGGAATCCTGGCTGCACGTACTGAAGGCATCAGCAGGGACCCATACCGTGGGTCGCGGTGCGAGCTGGGATGGTGATGGTGCATGTGTGGATGAGGGTGATGGCGATGCATGTATACGTCATGCATGTGTGCATACGAAGGGCTCACCTGAGATGCTAAAGGATAATGCCAGGATTCGGATGCAGCAGGGGGAGGAGGTGGGGCAGTCTGATGAAGGCTGTGTCCCGGCCAGCTGCTGGGATCTGGTGTTGGGAAGGTGCTGGGTGCAGTAACGGGGAAATTGGGGTGTACTCCACTTAAGCATGGTGGAGGGGGAGGCTGATAAGAGCTGGTCCAAAATGAAGTTGGGAAACTGCTCCTTTGGCTTGAGATCGTTGAGCTTTCTGGTGAAAAGGAGAGGGGAGAAATGAAGTATGAATGAAGCTGAACAACATATTTGAATGAGAAAAGAGGAAGAAAAAAAGAAAAAAGATTGTCTATCCTTTCAAATTTGTAACACTGTGCTCAAGCTTCCTCAGTAATTCCAGTATGAAGATCCTAACTCCTGACCTAGAACTACCTTTTAGAAAATATAATATATCATATAGAAAGGCAGCTGTCCTGACTATAAATGCTTCTGAGGACATCCAGCCAGCTCATACTGCAGAATCTGAGAGACATTTGGCTAATGGGAGAATACTAGATCTCTTGAAACTAACTACATGCTTTGATGGGGCAGAGATCATATCTAATGCATCTTAAACTAGTCCCTTATAGAATATATCATGTTGCCCTGTAGTATCAGATAAACTGACCCATCTATGTAACTGAAAGAAGACATTGTCTGGAATAACAGCTTTGCTCCTTCTTATGAGCTAGAGCTCGACTTTTATTTAAATGGATTCCGATACCTCTACATTATGAAATCACATTCTAAAAATTCCTCTTCTGAAGGAGTGGTTAGTGTTTTTGATGTGTAGGAAAGCATTAGCATCTTCACTCTTACATCTCTCTTGCCAACTGATGTTAGAAAGTACTGCTTCATACAATATGTCTCAGCTGAAATAGCTTTTTTTTTTCTGGTCAAAGATGGAAACAAAAAAATGTGGGACTCTACCTCTGATGAAAGAACAAAGTCATAAAACTAGCCTATGGAGAAATAAAGCCAGGGAAGTTTAATATTTGACAAGGCAAGGAATCCTCTGTTCCTCACATAACATTTACAAAAATATTTATATCATTTTTTTTAAATGACCTTCTGTTTTACTTTGTTTAACAAGCAACTGGAATGAGACTTAGGTGAAGACATCACTGAGAATAAACAGATTCTTCAAACACTCCTGCCTCTGAACTTTGCTTACTTTAAACAAAAATACTTTGGAAACATAAAAACTGTAAAAGTTTTTTCTCTGACTGCATTGTTAAGACACTTGTGTGTCTACTTCAGAATCCATTAAAACCATAGAGATTTTTTTCCATGCATCAGTTGTCTTTGATATAGGTAGTCTATTGAGCCTGATTAACTTCTAGTATTGGAATTGTCTTCAGGAAAAGATACATACAAAAGTAGAAAAGTTATCTTTAGGCTAAACTGCTTCCAACAGAGCTGAAAGGTTATCCAGCAAATTGTGCTTCAATGTGGTTTTCTTGCAAAGGTAGCTTTTTTTTTTTCTTTTTCTTTTTTTTTTTAAGCAGCATTTCTATTGTAATTTATACTAGAGGACTTCAGAAAGCTTCAGACATACAACAAAGCCTCAACATCCCTCTGAAAGTGATGGTGTTCCTTCTTTGTAAACTGTTCCTTGTTACAAGTGATTAGGCTGAGCTACACAGTGCACATGCATGGCATGCAGTGTTGCTTGCTGGGCTGACAAAATGGCCTAACAAATGAAAAAGAAAACAAAATGAAACAAACAAACAAAAAACAATCTCAAGTTGCTTCTCGTCCAGTTTGGCATTTTCCTCTCCACTTGAGAAACACAGTTTGACAACCCATTGCCACTGTTCTGAGAAGCTCATCTCTATATCTTAGAGGTTTTGCAAGCTCTCTGATTGTTAACAGCATGAAAAAGCCTTAAACAGAAATCACCTCGCATCAGAAAAATAGCACAGAAAACTACAGAGCATCTGCATGATGAGAATAATAGTAGGAGAGAGGACTTTAAATCACTAGATTTGCCAGTATTAATTCATGCCAGATTGTATATCAGCTTGGCTTTACCAATCATTCAATAGGATTAGGCCATACGAATCACGTTTGGTCTGCTCAGTACCAGCGTCAGAAACTGTCACGTACCAGCCCCACTGAAATACCAATGAGCAGTGAGTTTATCTGCAGGGGAAACAGCTGATCTGACTGGTTAAGGTAAAGTCATGTCACTGGGGATACACAGTCCATCTGTGTTACAGGAATGAGAAAGAAACCTTCACCCACACAGAGGTTGGATGCTATGGGTCATTAGATGTGCAACAGCATCAACAACAAAAACTGTCTCTGTGTTGAATCACAATCCTAAATTACCATACATTCATACCATATCTGAAGGTACTCCTGTCATCTCTACCTTTCAAACAGTGAATAAAGCTAATTGCCTTTACAAATATTGCCATGTCAGATGCCTGTCCTCTAAGTAATAAGGAAGAAGCAGCCATTTCAACAATTTTCTTGATAAAAAAAATGAATAGCTTACGCTGGCTTCTGAGGGTGAGGAGGAGGAAAATATAGCAAAAACTGTTTGCCAAAAGAGATACTACAGATACCACAATTTCCTATGCCAAGTACAGGGAAGCAGGAGGATGGCAGTATCTCAGATACCACTAAGTGGTGACTAAAGAAAATGTTAATAGTGTCTGACCAACATGCACTGAAAACATGCCAAAGCCCACATGCTATAAAGATGACAATGTATGGAGTTTTCTGTAGTACAATGATACCTTTCAGTAAGGGGACAGAGGGTGAGGCTGAGTAGGGAAACAAAAACTTTCAACTAGGAAAACCCTTTTGATAAAAATACCGGTAAGATAATATTGAATTTAAAGTATAACCCCTGAAAAAAGACTTCAATCCCAAAATACAATAAAAAATCCACAAATTCACCTTTATGATGAAACTACAGTTTATTTTTCCATCATGATAATTAAAAAAAATCAGATGAAAAAACAGAAGATATTGCTATCTTTCCTTTCATGGAAAAGGAGAGAGAATGCAATGAACTGCATAGCCAGTCCATTTTCACTCCCTTCCCATTTGAATTTGTATCTTCCCAAATAGCTATTGCAAGTGCAAAGCCTCATTTTTAATTGATCCCTGAGTCATTTGTTGACAGAAAGTCAGGCCACCCATGAAGGTCGTTCATTGAAAGATCTCCAAGCTAATGGTATTTTAATGCCTTCAAGTAAGGGGATAGAAATGAATATGCACTTACTGTAACGGAACATCTTTGACAACCATACATGAAGCAGAAGAGTAAGATATTAATAAAACTATTTCCTCACTTCTTCAAATGGACATGTTTGAGAAACTCATTTGGGCATGATAAGACTCCTTCCAGCTTCTCTTCTCTTGAGAAACAAACACTCTCAACTTTCTCAGAGTTCACATTGCAGGATCAAGCAGCCCTTCCCGGCAGCCTCCCCCGGGATTTTTACACCACTCCAGCAGGTGCAACAACGGCAGAGGGCAGGCATATCCTGTTACTTTATTCCAGGAACACTTCTAGGACATGCAGACCTTCATTGCACTGCACTCTGATGGCACAGGCACTCTGGGTGAGGTAGCGGCAAAGGCTAAGACACCCTTACACCAGGCTACCCTAAGCCCCTATAGACTCCTCTGGGGAGGGCTTTGCAATGACACGGAGAGTGGGAAAAAAACAGCGGGGAATGTCTGAGGCCATGGGGAGGATATCTCCCAGAGAATAGCATGTCTGAAACCTCAGCGAAGAGGGTCCTCCGTGGGCACCGCTCTCTAGCGATTGTCTTGATCCTGTCTCTAAAACATTTATAGCCTGTCTGGGCCATTTATAAATGCTCCAACCTCTTTTAGTAAGTATAGGTTCAATCCTGCACTCAGGCAACTCTACAGAAAATTTCCCATTAACATTAATGGTCCCGGCTCAAGCCATAAATTCCTCTAGCTCCCTAGCCACTTGTGCTGACCTTTGCTTAAACTTCCTTGGATTTGTCATCATCCTCTGGAAAGTAAGTCCTCCTGTGCTATTTTTCTTTTCACAGCAGTATCCAGAAATCTACTCTTTTTTCCCTGTGATTTTCATTAATATGCTCTCACCCCAGCACCATTACTTATGAAAATACTACTACTGCAAGGATCCTCACTGTATCTCACTAACTCAATTTGATGCAACACCATTATTCATTACATTTAGTTCACGGATCTCTTATCAGCATTCAGCCCTAAAGAGATGATCAGAATTAATATAGACCTTCAAACCTATAACTGTATTGAGTATTATATTCAACAAAATGGAAATAGTCTTACTGGTGTGCTTTCTTTGGTCACCGGTTTTGAAGTTCTAGCCATAAGGTATATTTAGTAAGATTTATCTCTCAAGGTCTCCTATTACACTCATAATGCTTATATGAATTATGAGATACAAACATTACATTGGTATTCAAGTGCCTACCATCACAGTGCCTGCCATATTTCTACTGCCTGCTAGGAAGCAGTGTATTATTATCCCCATTTTACATATGGTAAGTCAGTAATAGTGATCATGACCTGCAGCCCATCATAGCCAAGCAGGCCAGGGGTTGCCCTCAAGCCTACTGCAGCCTGTGCTTGATTCTCCCAGATTGGAAAGCCAACTGCAGATGAATTTTAATCATCTGGCAAAGTCATGCATGAGGGCTGCCTGGGTCTCTTCACTTCAACACTAATATCTCAGTCAGTCTCCCTATTGCCTCAGAGGCCAAATTGCATTAATAGATCTTGCAACAGATGTTTGTGAAGCCACATGAGCTGTGCCTCTTCTCTCCAGGCCTTAGATGAGCCACTGGCTATGGGAAATATTTGCTTCTTCCACTTCTGGCTTTCACTTCTGCCGCAGCAAAAGCGGCATCTTTCACCGTTCAACATTTCAGATAGTCAACTCCAGGAAGCTCCTCATTTCTTTCATATGCGAGGAGATTTTTCCACTTTCACGGAGAAGCAAAATCTCACCTGCAATGCAAAATGCACTACCACAAAGCAGATTAAGTACACTAGAACAAGTTGCTGCTCCTCTTACCTCTCCACAGAGGACTTAGCCCTGCCTTGCTCTTTGAAAGGGCAGTTTCCGGACTGAAGCTACTGGCTTGGCTCAAAGCTCTTGAGAAGTGTTCATCCACTACTGAACCAATATCTCCCTGGAAGTAAGTGAAAAGGACGCAGCGAGAGTTAAGGTACTCCATCTCAGCAGGCTGGTCTTTCTCATCCTCCTCTTGCTTGCTGGGAAGGGTCACTTCCAGGGACTCCTGCATCTTGTTGTATATAGCTAACTTCTTCTGGGATTAAAAACAAAACAAACAAGAGATGTATCACTAGTGGCATTCATTGGAAACACAACATCTGATTTCTGTAAAGAAAAATATCTGAATACATTGAATATTCATTTCAAAAGTAAAGTTGGAACATAGGAATATTTTGCACAAAGGTCTAACAAAGAAGAGCTTACCAGTGCTGCCTAGTTTATACTCCCTGAACATGGACAGGCCTGGTTCTCAGACACATTTCACAACCACAATTAACTTAATGGCAACTGCTTTCGCTCAATATCTTCAAAAGAAAACAGACAGACTCTAGCAATTCACTCCTGTCTCCCACCTGGAAAGGATATTCCCATCAGTAGAGAATGCAAAGGTCGAGCCTAGCCCTGTGGAAGGGTGGCCATATACTGTCTGTATTTCACACAGAGACCAGGTTTTGCCATCCATACTCCCACTGTTGAGGATACTCAGGTCTCTGACTCCCCATCACCTACCTACTTATTGGCAAAGGCACAGTATTGCCACACAAGTCAAGGGGGGAGAATTTGAGGCTTTCTGGAAAGTTTTCTGCTGTATTATAAAATCCATATAACACAGAGTATGTCACTTATAGGAAAAAAAAATGAGAAACTATACCTTGGGTTGGGTTTGAGAGTACATGTATGTGAATGTTTTAAAAACAGAACAAAAAGAAAAATAAAATAGAAAAAAAAGTTTACGGAAAAAAGAAAAAAAATCTATGTCAGAAATAATCAGAGATGTGATCTGGGGAAGAGAGGAACTGACAAGTCTACAAACACATACAAAAAAAAATCACCAAACCAAAAATGCAGAGAAGCATTTTAAAAAAATAATAAAATTAGCACAAGCCATCTGCAAAGGGCTATTTCAGAATCTTCTCTCTCTCTCTCTCTCAAATCAAACTTAAATGTCAAAATAAATGTGTGTGAAGATCCATTTTGCATGGAACATATTTTTCAGATGTTCCACTTTACAACTGTTTTCACAGAAAAAAAAAAAACTCCCCACAACAGCCAGGCTGCAGGAATCACAGCTTTTAGCTAGCTAGCCATTTCCACAGCTGACTTTACACACAAACAGCTTCAGCAACCCCAAAACAGCTACGGCACTGAAGTATATCATAACTTTCCTTTAGAATTACAGTTTGACTCATCTTCTATGATTTGCTTGGCAACACTTTAGCACCATCAGAATCTCTTTAAGTTTACGGCTTTCTTCGTTTTTTTCTAAATTTGTTATACAGAGCAAGTTAAATGAGTACATAGTCTATAAAGTTCCATTTACATAATAAATACGTTTGATTTAGAAATGATTGGAAATCATTTTCTGATCTTGTATACCATAAATATATTCACATTCTGTGCTTTTTAAGATTATTTAAGCATGCACAAATTGCCTTATTGTACTATGAAAAAGAAACTCTGGAACTAATTCTTACTTACGAATGGCTATTAAGAAGAAAAGACAAAAAGCTATTTTATACATCTCTCCAAACTTACAAGTAATATTAAAATCTATAATACTAAAAGCTCAGAGCAATTAAGTGATAATCCTAAAATTACAGTATGTTAATTGATAAAAAATGACGGTTCAGTAATAATTTTAACCCTGATGCTGTTGTACAAAATGTTCTGATGGATGTAAGTTATTTTATTTTGGGATTTTCAAGATCTAGACTGTGTTCAAACACTTTACTAAGAAAAGCTGTCCTGTAGCTCTGCTTAGCACGGCATCAATTATTTTAGACATATGGTTTTATCCAAGCACCAACAACACATAAAGAAAAACTGTGGGATTCACAAAAAAAAAAAGTTAAGAAAAATTGCTAGGAATTAATTGCTAATGTGAAAACACATTCTGATGCTACGAGTTAATTTTCTGAAAATGCAGGATTTGAAGTAACATAGAGAATATACTCTATATTTCTCAAATGCTTTGTGCCTTCTGTAAAGGAAAAAAAAAACATTTTCTAATATTTTCTACTGAAATGTTTACTGAGCTATTGCTCAGAGTGAACTTCATAGTTTTACCTAAGTCCTTAATAGAACAGAAGTAGTTACAGAATGTATAATAATACTGTATATACAGGAGACATATGCATTAGAGGCATTTGCCTCAGTGACCTGACGGTATTTAAAAGAAGAGCACCATAACTAAGTTCCACTAAAGAACGCAAGACAAGTGGCTGGGGAAGGGCTGGGGGCTTTTTTCTTTTTTCTCTTTTTTTCTTTTTTTTTTTTTTAAGAGACAAGCCATGAAATAAATCTTCTATAGAGGTCTAAATAGATATGGATGTATTGGGATATCTCAAACACCTGGGCATATGCCCACAATATACACATAGTGCACTTTAAAACTTTATTTCTGTAATTACAGATATACTGTTTGCATTTATACTGCAAGTACGCAAATACATATACTAGCACGCAATTATATACAGAAACACATCCTTTAATATAGCCCCTGGCTTGAGTTGGTTATCAGGAAGGAAGTCTTTCAATGTTCCTATATAGAGACTGGAGCTCAGGAAATTAAAACTTATCTCCAGAGTCGCTTCTCTGTGCAGGAATGTTCCCCCTTCCACAGCCTAAGAATCTAATTCATTTTCCATTTCGGCTTGTGTCCCTACCTCCATCCATTCAGTCGATGGGAGTCATTACAAGATACTCTCCGTTTTCAAAAACAATGTCACACACACACACGAAAGGTAGTGCTGACAGACTGAAAGGTAGTACTGACAGACAAGTACAAGCCTCTCTCTGAACACTAAATTATTTTTTTAAGACTTATAAATTAAAAGATTTTTCAGAACTGCATTTTGCTTGTGATGAGGTGCATACTGCACACCGTAATTTCTGTTACAAGAAGAAACTATTAATCATTTTTTCCCCTGTAATTACACAACTTGTTAAATAATAAACTTTAATGAGATAAAGAGCAACTTAAGTTTTCTCTGTCTACACGGTATACATCAGTTCCAATGCATACATCCCTTAATAGAAATCACTGTTTTCTTCCCCCTGCCCCTTAAAATACCTCTGTCTGTCTGCATGCAAATTTTGGGCCGCTGCTTCTGACCTTAAGAGTGATCTTCTCATAAGCATTTCCGACTGCACTTGTGTGAGAGGAAAAGTATGTGAGATGATCAACTGCTGAATGAATTCATTGCGGAGGGGGCTGCGCGGTGGAAAGAGCTTAGGTTTCTTATAACTAATCTGGTCTAGCCCCTTTCCACTTGCACTTTTCTTATATGAACAGTTCTGGCACACATTTAAGCAGCCAGCACTGTCTATAATGTCTCTATACAAGAAAGCATGTTCTGACTGGACACAATGTATTTCTTGATTGTGTTCAGATTTTCATTATTTTCATACACTCATGATTTCCTCCTCTCTTTTCCGTAACAGCTAAGGACTAAAGTTAAGCTGTTTCTGGGAGTGGGGGTAGCAGGGGAATTATAATAATCATCATCATCACAAAATCATCACATCTTGGCAAAGGCCCAGAACATAGAACTAGAATTCAGATTAACACACTGAAAATCAGGTAGGGAAATGGGCAATTCAGACATGAGGGCACCTGGTAATACACAGCAGGAAGGAGGAAAGTAAGTTAGTGGCTGAAGAAAGACTGGTAGTATCATGAGGCAAATAAAGCTATATAGCATGGGCTCCACTCAGTTACAGCCAACATTATTTCCATATATTCAGAAACAAGCTCTTCCAAATGAGAATTTTAAATCTTATTGCAAATAGCCTGAAGAAGCTAAAGGTCAGTAGCAAGTCACCACTAATAACGGAACATTAAAAAAAGAAGGCTTATGTTGGATAAGCGTGAACACTCTTTTTTCTGGAGGAAGAAAAGACCACTCAAATATTTTACACCAACAAAGAATGTGGTCCAAAATCTCACACAAAACCCCTGTCTTGAAGATCGCTGTTATTTTCTGACATATCCTATCCAGAATCAAGCAAAACTGTTCTCATGCAGTGAAATCCTGGCCACATTAAAGCCAATGGCAAAGGTCCAATTGACTTCAAGGGTCCCGGATTTCACCCATGGTGTCTGGTAAAAATGTCAGAACATTCTTCTCATAAATTGAAAAAAATTCACTTCCAGCTGAAACCAGCTAGTAGACAGCCAAACAAAGACAACCAAGCACAGTTGAGATGGGAGAAAATTTCCGTTTAGTTAAGTTAGGACTGAAAAATCATGCCAGCTCTTACTTTACATATCAGTTGGTTGCCTCTTCCTACAAGTTATTATCTCCATACATGCCACCATACAGCATATGGTCCTTTATGCTCCCAAGCATGAAAGTCTGGTGTGCCTGTGGCCACCTGTTACAGATTTTCCATTATGAGAGAAAGAGCAGGAACCGAAAATAAAGAATAGCTGCAGTGAGGAAACACTATATGACCCTATCCCGAGAAAAAAGCTGTCATTTGACATAAACTTCTGAGAAGGAATTTGAGTAACAAACTCTAGGCAAAACACAGACAGTCCTCCGTTTGTGAAAGTGCTGGTCGAGCAGCCTGCTATTGATAACACTGAAAGTATTCAAGAAAGATGATAAATTCAAGCAATTGCAGAGTGGAATGCCAGGCCTGAGAGCTGTATTTACTTCACGCCTCGAGGACACGAAATGCTACCTTTGAGCTTTGCTAAAGAGCAAGCACAGCGCAAAGCTCAACTCCTCCTTTCAGGAGAGGGGCTGGATTTGCAGCATTGGAGCTGGCAGTGCCTGGTCTGTGCTGCTGAGGAAAGGAGGCAGCAGAGGATGAAAGAATTTACACAACATCTTCCACGCTACTTCTAAATGGAGGAGTATCGTTAAAGTCTAAAGCTTTGTTTTTATGTAGCTAGAGGACGATCAAATAGCGCTTGCTCCCAATCAGAACAATCTTTTTTTTTTTTTAAATCCCCAGGGTCTCACAAGCAAAAGAAAAACACAAACAGAGTAAGACTTAATCCAGGTTTTGTATGCGATGAAGTATACAGGTCAGGAGTTATACAGGTCTGATTTAATTTCTGGTGAAGCCAGTAGTAGAGCACCCAGCGAGCTTCAGGAAAACCTCGAAGGGGCATCCAAAATGCAAAAACTAAATGCAAAGACATCTTCTCTTGTGTTAAACACTGAGGAATGCCTCTCACATACAGCGTCTTTCAACATTAGTAATACAAGCCCATCCTAAAAGTTGTGAACGTGTGGCACAGAGAGATTTACTAGAACACAGCACTTGAAACTAGGGTTTAGCTACAGCCATCTGACACAGTATTAAACACAAGTTATCCTTGTCTGCAAAGCTGTTAGTTTGGAAAGAAGAGTCAAGTTAGTGACCTAATTTTCTAATGAAGACAAGCCCTTATCTGGAAAAAGTCTGTCTACAGCACTGCCAGCAGTAAGTCTGACTTGAGCATATCACAACTCCTTGTGCAAGACTGATTTAGCAAGGACAGTGCTTGGCTCAGCTCTCTACATCTACATACTGTGGAGGAATTCCAAAACTACCATTTACTGTAACTTCCCATTTAAAAGGTTTTTAGCTTAGGTGTTAGCAAGCCAGGCTGAATCCTACCTTTGCCTCCACTCTGCAGCTTACTACATCTAGACTAATAGAGTGGGACATGCAGTCACTGCCTTCCTCATGCACCATAAATAAATTAGGATTCTTCACAGATTAGGTGTTTCCAGAGACTCATGCAGTGGGAAGATCTGTTACATCCATTCCTTTCTCAACCCATAGGAAACCCAAAACTTACTACTACGGCTTCAGAGCCCTTCAAGAGAGCATGTAATGAGCTGAGTTTTAATTTCACTGTTCTGCAGGGTTGTACATTCCTGCAAGCATGGCCCCTTACTGAACGTGATTGCTTTGCTAACACCATTGTCCATTTGCTCCGTATTTTAGACAGCAAAAATGGTAACCCCAGTTTATCAGTAGAATTAGGCCTCCACCCCATTTTCCTTCTGATATCGTGTGAGCAAGTACATCCACCTTTCCTTACTTCCCTCGGCAAACACCCTGCATGTCAGCAATCTCAAAGACCTAAGGTGCTAAGCCTTAGCTCTCATTAACATTCAGTAGGAATTCAGGCTTCAGTCCTCTGTGCCCTTTTAAGAAATCCCACCTAAATTAATTTGCCAGCAAGTTCTTTCTTGGCTATGGACTGCTGAAAACCTATGGCGGCAGAATCCCTGCACAGTGCAAAATCAGTTCTGCGCTGATTTGAAGGCAACGAGAACTACACATAAGGAAAGGTGGGAGCAGCTTTAGGGTAGGGTGACTCTTCTGGAGGGGCACGATGGACCACCCTTGCAAATCCCACTTCTGCACGCTCTAGGTGTGTGCTAATCCATCGGCCAACCCGAAGCCCGTTACGTCAAATGGGAGATGCCCGTTCCAAACGCCGTGGCCACAGAGGCGAGACGCGGTGCCAGCTGCCTGCGAAGGGGCTCCTCCGGAGCCAGCAGACAGCTCACACCCTGCCCAAGCACACGCAGGTTGCCTCTCCGGAGGGACACCGTGACAGCTCATGTCTCCACATTGGGACTTGCAAGCGCTGAGGAGCCAGCTTAGCTCTTTAAAAGCTACACCTACTGCCCAAGGCTGCCATAAACATGTGTGGTGTGCAACACAGCTTTATTACTCAAGCACGTCTCTTCATGCCGAGGCTTTCGCTAAAAAAACACTCCTACAGTTCCCCACATTGAACGGGAAAAGCAACAGAAGCCCAACTCTGAGGAGCTTTTTTGTCTCAGGAAACAGATCATTTTACGCTCTTTAAAAGCTACACCTACTGCCCAAGGCTGCCATAAACATGTGTGGTGTGCAACACAGCTTTATTACTCAAGCACGTCTCTTCATGCCGAGGCTTTCGCTAAAAAAACACTCCTACAGTTCCCCACATTGAACGGGAAAAGCAACAGAAGCCCAACTCTGAGGAGCTTTTTTGTCTCAGGAAACAGATCATTTTACTGGGGACTGACAGACAACAGAGTACACAACCCTGAAAAATGTTACAACGGAGTCCTTGGATATTTTGAGGATGAGCTCCACTGCATCGTCTCTAGTACAGAGTTTTATTTTTAAGAAGTCCCACTAATTCATCTTCCCCCATTGCTATTTTTTAATCATAGTTTTCATTCCAGCAAAGAAGAGCATTCTTTAAACCGGTCATCATCCTTATGAAGAACGCAGGGGAGTTTTACATGTTGAACACATGTGTAAGAAGAAACAAAATCCTGGCAACAGATTCTTCTTCCTCCTTTCTTAGGCTCTTTACCACTCGATTAAATATCCTTGATAGAAAAACTTTGAAGAAACGGAGCAACTTGCATAATGTCAAACATTATCCAAACAACAAATCACTCCAAATGGATAAGAAGCTTATTTTATGTTTATTTATTTTATTTTTATTTTTTTCCAGGATTGGATCTCAGAGCATATCCACAAACTGCTCTGAAGTTTGTAGCTGCCAGAATTGCAGGGTACTACATTCTCAGTTCAGCGGCAATGGCTCTGTTTTCCAGTCTGACACGACTGGTTTGTGAAGATCCTTCAGCTTCAAATATTTGAGGAAAATTGGTTCAAGGAGGATTAGTTAAAATAAATCGTCAGTAGATGTGGGATGGTGGGACTGGAAAGTTTTTTTGGAGGTAACAGGATATATTGTACTGGCCACAAGTCATAAACTGTATTGGCTCAGCCGAGCTAGGTTTCTTGCCTCACACATGTACCTCCACTTTTCACAAACAACACGACCTGTAAGAACTCGGTTTATTTAAAATTAAATTTCAAGTAACTGGCCTTCATGAGGATGCTTTGGGGACATTTCATATATGGTCCTGCTTACAGCTGATGAGGAAATTTAAAAATCCTGCACTTGCATGTGACACAGCAGCTGATTATTTAATATTTTTTCATGTACTAAGTGTTCTATCCCACAAAGCGGGAAATGAAATAGAGTCAGTCACCCACAGAGTAAAATGACAAAAAGTCCACCAAAGTTTCAGTGGTGCTTTTCTACTTCTACGTCTCTTAACTAAACAGGCAAAGTTACCCTCAAGTTCCTCCCCCATCAAATGAACCAGGCTAACAAATGGACTTTGAGATATTTGAAGAGAAGTTTATAAATAAAATTACTGAATAAGTTGAACGTTCTGCAAGCCGTGACCTAGATTACAGAAGAAATAAAAACGCAGGCACGCTGCAGCGGGCAGAACTGCCAGGCTTCCCGGAGTCTGTGTTTACAGTGAGCAACGTGAGCAACCTTGAAAAGTCAGCCTCGGTATCACTGCTGCACGAGCTTTTCCTCCCAACAATAAAGAAAAAAACAATAACATGCGATAGGAATTTTAATGTTTTAGCCCACATTCGTGTCTCCCAGGCAAGTTGATATTAGGGGTCACTTCCCATGTACGGCGAAAACAATCTTCATGGATAATAATGATAAAACCTTATGGAATGCAGCAACAACCAAAAAATGTATTCTCAGATGACTACATTAGGGCCAAGTCAATATTAGTCCCACTTCACCCACGCACTGCATAGTCTAAAAATGCTGTCAGCCCGATAAGAATTTCCTGATTCAATTTTTTTTTTTTTTAATGCATCTGATCACCGAACTCAACTGGAGTCCCGCCGGGGCCGATCCCGCAGGAGAGCCGGGCGCGGCGGCGCCGACCGCGGCTGGAGC